GATTATTATTTTAAAATTTGCCAAAGGGCACATGCTTCACCAGAGAGTGAGAGAGAGACAGAGGGAAAATGAGAAAGCAAGCCACCAGGTCCAGGATTCAAACCAGGGTTGGCTATGTGGGAGTCCAGCACACTAACCACCACACTACCTGATGGCCCAACACTTACATTTCTAATCTTTAGAAGGAGCTATAAAAGTGAATTTTAAAATGGGATCTTGGAGGCTGGCTCCATAATAAAGTGGGTAAGGGAGCTAGATCCCACATGGACAACTGTGTTCAAATTCTGGCCCCACCAGCTTGAAAAACACACCAGATGTGCATGCCTAAAATGGAGAAATTGAGGAAAAGAGATAATAATACTAGTGCAGTCATATCCTTTAGGAGGTACTTCCTCGCTCTCTGGCTCTCTCTTTGGCAAGTCCATATGTCTTCTGACAATAAAACAACAACACAATAGGATTTTGCCTCTAAGGAGCTTACAAATTTTAAGGAGTATAAATCTGGGATGAGTTCCATTTTAGAACCATCTAAGCAAGGTGATTACTTTTTAATTCTAGTAGTCTACATATGTTAAACATTATGCTTTAGGAAAGTTGATTAAATGTAACTTGCTACTTAACCAGCTCATCCCTTTAGAAAATTTTATAAGTATAAACCTAAACTAAAAATGCATCCGTTCATTAATGATAGATGTCAGTTCAGGTTAAATGCCACAAAATTTTCATCTTATTCTATTTTGTGAATCCAGAAGTACCTATACTCTGTTCTGACAAATTTATTCAATCAATAAATAGATATTTTATTCTTATCTCTCCACCCTTCAGAATAGACCTCCAATCCAGTGTTTTACTTCACAGTTGTCTGCTGGAGACTTTGTCTGCCATCTGATCAGTGCAGTGATTTCTGGGAGGAATCTGCTTAACATACTTTGCTCGAACTCTTGTGCCAGGGACTAAATATAGAAAGATGAACAAAGCCCCACAGCGTCCCTGTCCTCAGGAAAAGGTCTGTTGTGTGAGTGGCCACACACTGTGATTTCACACACAGCGTGTACAGCCAGTTTAACAGCATCACCCCCAGATGTACGCCCAGTCAGAACCTGAGAGTGAGTGAGACCATATTGGGCGTCGGGTGTTTGAGGAGGTACTCGGCTAATTATCCTGGATTAGGGCAGGTCCTAAGTCCAATTTTGGTATCCTTGTAAGACAAAGAACAGGGAGATTCCGATACAAAGACAGAGAAGCATGCCGGGGAGAAAAGCGTGTGACAACAGAGGCAGAGCTGGAGTGACAGAGCCACGGCCAGGAGCACCTCAAAGTTCCGGGAGTCACCATGAGCTGAAAAACAAAACAAAAAGAAGAAGGAAGGGAGAAAGGAAGAGAGGAAGGAAAAGGCTGGAGGAGAGGGAGAAAGAAAGGAAGGAAAGAAAGGGAGGAAGGAAGGAAATAGAAAAAGGCAAAGGAGGGGGCCTTCCCTGGAGCTGTCCAAGGGAGCACAGCCCTCCTGAAACCTTGATTTGGGACTTTGGTCTCTATTTCACCGAAAACGAATTTCTGTGGTTTTAAATGAAATAGTTTTCAGTGACTAATTGTGTAGTCATTTGTTACAGCTGTCCTAGGAAGCGAATAAAATACGTGTCAAGTTGAGCCAAAAGAAATTGCCAGTGTAACTGCTTTGCCTCACACAAACAGCCACGTGATGTGGCTCGGCATGTTACACGCGTGTAATCAGAAGCCTTCATGGTCATACAAAGCTTTCCTGAGGAAACATGAGTGCAGCTGAAAGCTGGAGAGCACATGCAAGTTGATTAAGTTTAAGAGAAGGGGAAAGAGAGGAGTCCCCAACGGGGGGAGAGGGGGTGCCAAGGTCCTGAGGATGAGAGGTCCAGACCCTTCTGAGCAAGTGATGGCAGAAGCCTCAGCGGGCGGTGGTGTCGGCTTAGAGCAAGCTGAGGCTAGACCGCGGGGAGGGGCAGAGACAGACGGCCTCAGAGTCTCAATTAGCGATGGGGATTTTGTTTTAAGAGCCGTGGAATGCCACTGAGAAGTTTTAAACCAGAAAGTGAGAAGAGTACTGTAACCACAGCCCGGAAATGGATTAAAGGGAGCCAGAACAGATGGGAGGCTTAGCAGGACGTGCAGGAGTCCAGGTGGTGTCATTGGCCAAGAAGGTGCTGGTGGGCAGGAGGGAGGGCCAGGCTGAGAGATTTCTAGCAAAGAGCTGTGTGTTTTTATTGCAGTGACTTATCTTCTAATTAAACACTATTTGCCCTTAGGTATCTTTGAACACATTGAAGTATCATGAAATATACCTACATTTAGAACCCTAATGTTAACTATTCTAATCATGCTTTTTTCAGGTAAATGTTAGTGTGTATTCAATGTATACAGCGTGTTATGAGATACGTGTGTATAGTAAAATGGTTGTTCTGGTGCAACAAGTTAGCTCATCTGTTATCTCACATAGTTGCCCATTTTCCTCTCTGTGGCCATGGGGCTATATTCCATGCATTTACAGAAACCTTGAGTGATCTTTCTGCTGCTCATAGCTTTCTTTTTAAACAACAAAGTTACTGGGGGCCAGCCGCTGGCATAGTGGTTAAGATGCTAGACTTCCACGTAGTCAGCCACCATTGAAGTACCAGACCTGGTGGCTTGACAATCATGCCGGGCACATGATTTTATATAGATTTTATACACACACACACACACACACACACACTATATATATATACACACACATAGATATATGTGATATATGTTTTGCACACACACATTCTCCCACGAGTGAGTGCCAGAGAGAAAGGGAGAGAGATGCCACACCCCACCCCTAGCGTCAGCCAGTCCTCAATCATGGACCAGCACAAACCCAGTGTACTCAGGGCGGTGTCTGGACCTGAACCAGGAATCTTCCCATATGGGATTGCTTGGCAGAGCGTCACACTTGACTGCCTCACCACTGTCTGCTGCCCAACCACCAAGAACTCTCTTAAAGTGGAATTAGTGCCACCCTTCTTTTCTTAGTTCTCCCTTTCCTCCCTCCCCTCTGTTTCCAAGCACTTTCCACCAGGGATAGGGTCAGGGCGATATTTTATTGTTATTACAGAACCATCTACCCTGTTATAATGCAAGCTCTGTGAGGGCAAGTAAAGAGGTGTATCTATTTTTATATCACAAGCACTTTGCCATGGAACCCGGCCTATGGGGCTTGATTTATAAATGAGGGCATCAATATATAAATAAATGAGTCAGCAAACTCATGAATGAACACATGCTTTATTTCTGCTCTAGCTTATCAGCTTGTCTTTGGCCTGGTACAACTGCCTGGCTCGTGGTCTGACGTAATACATGAACACTTCCCTGTCCATGCGCTGTGCTTACCACTGACCAATACCTTTCTTCCAGCGGTACAATCAGCTTTTAGAATACAAGTCTCTTTCCTGTACAGCTCTGTTTGTGTACAGAGTCATTTTTCTAATTGCCCGCATCTTATGTAAATCCCGGTAATTTTTGTTTTGTGCCTTCGGAGGCTAATTCTTTATCACTGTCGTCATCACAACCATCAAATTATCCAGAACGTGCCCTTCTGCACACATCGCTGCCTTTGAGCGCCCCACTTAGAGAGGGAGGAATGCAGTGAACAGCAGCATCTCTCCGCTAAATAAGATTACCATCTAGGACAGAAAACCCGAGGCTGCCCCCAAAATTAAATAAGACAGACAAATGACTAAGGTAAATATGTATGCTGTAAGATCCAAAATGTAAGAGTAATGCTTGTAAAATGAGAAATGCAGGAAGCAGAACATATATTCTCACTACGAGCCTACAACCAGTTGTCCAGCCGAACCATCCACGGTATTGACATTGACATATTTTCCCCAAACTGGGGCTCTATTTTCTCTCTAGCCAGCTGGTCTACCCACATGTGGGTAGGGGGAGAGAGTTGCTGTCTCTTCAGGTTATAAAAACTTTCTTAGCCTCTAGTGCTAATCTTTCACAACCCCAAAGCTTCATTACTTACAAGGAAGCAAAAGCACACCCAACAAGGGGGTCAGGAGCTAAAGGTCTTCAGAAACATGCCTCCCTACCCCCTCCCAAAAGCCTACCTGAATCACATGTACCGTTTGAACTGGATCAGTGTTGCAAGATGTAGTTTGAAAAGGCAGGACAGCAAGAAAAGGTGGCTGTAGAGACAGCAATTCCAGTCTGTAGCAGGGCTGCGTGGAGGGGAGTGGTGAATAAAAGTTAAAGCAGGGAAAAAGAGAGGAAGAAAGTGTCAAGTGAATTCCACCAGCGAAAGCCGGTCCTCAGACCTTCCTTCAGCATTGATCCTGGCTCACGTTGTTGACTCAGCTTCCCTGATACTCAGTATGTAAAAGTGTAAATATATAATCTTACATAATAAAGAAATCCTTGCCATTTTTCACAAGGATGTGTTATGACACTTAAGTTAATCCCCAAACATCCCTACAACTTAATAGAAATCTCATGCTTTATGGACCAAATGGGTTGTTTCTAATTTTGAGCTTTTTTTTTTAATCTGCTAGACTATGTGACCAATTCTCTTGACATTTTCTCACTTTCCAAATATTGTCACTCTCTACAATTTGGTAGTTCCTATTTTTATTTTAAAAATTCTTCGAATTCCTAATCCTAGTACCTATGTGTTTAATACACATTTTATTGTTTAAATATAGAAGTGATCACAAATAGACAATAAAAAAGTGTGGAATGAAAATAGACTTATCTTTGAATGTAACATAATGTTTTCTCATTTTTTCCTGGTTTCCGTTTTTTGTTTTTTTGTTTTTTTTTCCTTCCCTGTAACCAAGTTTTTGCACACAGAGCCATGTACGGTAGGCCGGAGAGGTGTAGCTGGTGGGCCTTTGCTGCCATCTACTGGTTCTCTCTGTAATTGCATCTTATTCAATCTTAATCTAATTTTCTGTAACTCACATGGTGTTATAGATCCCCCCCTTCTTTCTTCTATTTTTCTTCAGTTAAAGCAAAGTGAAGCAAATGCAGACACCAAAGAAAAGCTTCCTCTGCGCCTGCGAATCTTTGAAAAATTTCCAAACAGACCACAAATGGTGAAAATCTCAAAGCTTCCTTCAGATTTTACAGTGCCTAAAATCAGGTATTGAAGGATTCTTTTTTTACTTTTTTTAACTGCATATCTCACATACATTGTACAAGACTGACTTATCTTAAACCTAGTTAAGTTTTTCTTTCAAAGTCATATGTGGGTGGCATTTACCCCCTATTTTTAAGTTAAAATCAAGTCTTCTACGCTGTGTTTAAAAACCATTGACTCCTTTAAGCACTGTGTTCAGAGAAATTTCATTTTACAGCGGTAGCAGCTGAGCCCAGGCTTCTCTCTGGGATGACCTGACAGGGATTGCATTTCCCAGGTAATTCCAAGGTGCTCAGTGTCGCAGGGGTGGTGGACAAACGTCAGCCTCTGGTCCTCAGTCAGAGAAGGCTAAAATTGCCTCTGCAGCCCTTTTATCTCCCAGTAGGCAGAGAAACTCCCACTGACCCGGGTTCTGCGTGTCGGCAGCATTTCTTTAGACTGCATGTCTGCTTACCATGTAATTTATCTTCCTCTTTTTAAAAAAAGAAACACAGCACGTTCTATTCGTAGTAATTTGATTTTCTACCACTTCTTTCCTCCAGTTAAACAAATTCATAGAAGATGCTTAAAAATACCCATTGTAATAATTAAATAATTTTTTTCTAGTTGCAACTCAAAAATCGCAAATACTGGTCCAAATATTCCCTGAAGCTAGCCTATTCATAGAAACTGATGAATATGAAAAGTTTTTACTTAACTAGTTTTAAAAATAATTTGGCAACGTGATTCTAACAGTAAGTGACTATATGTGGTGCCATAGTATTTGAAATTCAAATAGAAATAGATCTGCATTGCTGACTTTTAAAACATTAATTGAGTTGGGATATTTGAAAAGATGCTGAAATTTTCTTCATGCTTTGGACGTCAGATAAAGCCTATTTCCTTTGAGTCTTTAAGTGTAAAATTACCTCTCAAAGATTCTTATGATGAATGGAATTGGGGGGAAAATAATGTTTTCCAAGTCCTGGGGTGGGAGGAGGTATCTTATTACCACAATAGAATTCAAAAAATGCCACCAGTTACTGAATATCATTGCTTAAAAATTATTCCAGGGTCATTAATTTTTGTTTACTCAGTAGTCACTGAGGACTCAGGAAGTTTTCTCCAAAGTCAATATTTTGGTAATTAAATCTAAGCATCACTCTTAGGGTGCCATGTCTTGTTTTTCATGATTTTTGCCACTGCTTTATTGTAACCCAAGCACATGTGTCATTGCAAAATGTGTGGCTCGCTCCACTTCATCACTAATGCTTGTGTTTGTATACTTGACTTGCAAAGGGAAAGTTTTATGAAGCAGTTCATTGATCGCCAGCAACAGGACACCTGCTGCCTCTTGAGAAGCCTCCCTTCAACCTCTTCCTCGTCGTGTGATCACTCCAAACGGTCGGCAATTGAAGACAACAAATACATTGACCAAAAAGTAAGAACCACTGTCTCAAAGCACTTAACGTTTTAGTAGCATGTATGTGAGAGAAAAGAATGACCTGAATCCAGTGTCCCTAGAATCCAATGTCCTAGGAGAATAATCAAGGCAATTATTTTATTTGCAGAAGAAATCATTAAATCTGACATTTGAAGATTTATGAGTTCGAATTTTGCATTTATACAAGTCGGCTTTTGAGCAGTATCGCGTGGCCACTGTGTGACTTGAAAAACATCGAGAACCTCCCAAACCTGCATTTTCTCCTGTGCGGAATTAGGGCTTGGATCACTGAAGTTTTAAAGCCCAGGTTTACACTGGCCTGTCTGTTGCCTTCTACAAACAACCACGAGCATGTATAATCGTTACATCAGAGAGAGTAACCAGAGCAGATTTCTCTAAAATCAGTAAAAATAAGTGCCATTTCTTAGAATATTAATACGTGTCAAGAATTATGTCTGGGCAGAGTATCTTATTCCTGTCCTTGTTGACTTATTTATTTACCACTTGAAAAATAGACAAGAATTTTCTTCTTAAAGTACACAATAAAGGATCCCTAGGGAGTCACATGCATATAAAGCAACTTCAGTTTATAACTTTAAAGTCATGTCGTGTTCCATTTCTCCACTTTTAAAAATGTGTAAGACTTGCTGAGTGAAGCAAGTCAGGCTATGAAAGAGAGACATCGTGTGTCTCCCCTTAACATACACCAACTGTCCGCACTCTATGGCAGAGATTGAAAGACTGGAGGACATACAAGCATTAAAAGTTGTTATGGACACTAGAACCAAAGTGAAAAGAGTGGAGGAGGGGAAGAGTAGAGAAAAGGAAATTTAGGGGAAAATGGAGAGGTAAGGCATTTGTGGGACACGGATATGATTTATTATTTGTTTATGAGGACGTGCATATGTTCTCAACTGGGCTGGCCTGAGGTGTGCGTCATGCTGGGTAAAGTCTCTTTGCAATCTAAATGATGTATAGCGATTAAATGTATAAATAATAATTAAAATTAATAAATTAAAAATTATGTATAAAAGTGTAAGACAAAAAAGCAGTTTAGGTGCAACAAGTAAATAGATAAATCACATAAAATACATTTATGTATGCACATGTGTCTATGTATGCATATTGTACTATCAAACTGATACATACATAGATCAGTTCATCAGTTTGATCATGTAGTCAATGTCAGTTCAGTAGTATAATCAGTCATAAAATGAAAGATCAATAGCATAGTTATTAAAAGAGATTAAATGTAAGAGCTCATAAGAGCATCTAATTTACTTGCAAGCATTTCACTTTGGAATTCTTAGTTTATTTTTTATTCCTCTGTTGTTAGCCACTGTTTCTCTGTTGCTCACAGTGAAGTTCATACGTCTCTGTTACCAAGTGAAAATGAAACACCATCCCTTTCACCTACATTTTCTCCACCCAGGGATGAGGCCTGTAGAGTCCCTGCCTCCTCCTCATCCTTCCCCAGAGAAACCCCACTACTTGCCCCTCCTCAGTTCCTAGTTCTCTGCTGTAGTAGTGCCATTTTGTTCTAGATTACCATGACAATTGCCTTTGCAGTTTGTCTCTTCTTTACTGAGGATTTTCACTTATTCTGATTCTTTCGGTCATCTACAGATGTTTTTCCTCTACTTTATAGAGTCAAGATTGTACATAACAAGTCTGATGCCACAGTCTTTCTTTTGTCATTTGAAAATAATTAGGTTTTCATTTGGTAGCTTGGGTTGGCTAGTTCCTTTTGGGAAGAGATCAGAAATTTTATCAGGACATACCTTGTGTGTCTTTTCTCAAGAGACTTCCTGAACTATGGAGTCTTTTCAGTTTGCAGACTAATATTTGCTTATAGACATTTCCATGCATTAACTTTTCAGTTATTTCTTTTCCACCTGCTGCTTTTCTTCCTCTTAGGATCGCCATCTCTCTATTTTTCTTCTGTGCTTCGAGACGTTTTTCCTACCTGGTCTGCCAGTCCACTCATTTGATCTTGATGGAGATAAATTTTGCTTTTATCTTTTTAATGAAAAACCATGAAATGTGTTGTGTGTTACCCTTAACGTTCCTCCAGAGTTTGCTCTTTTACATTTGGTTAAACTAAACTTGCCTGCCTCTCTTTGCAGTTATCATTTATTCCATGTTGTATACAGGGCGTGGCAGCAAAGATCCCATTGTCAGTGGAGAAACCAGTGGGAAGATAATGACTTATCTTCAGTCATTCAGTTTGAAATTGCAACTCAGACACTAGAAAGATTATTGTTTTTGTTTTATTTTCTCTCGTTTCCAAAGCAAATTGTAAGCCAGAGGTGTGGAATAAACATTGTCCAGGCTGGGCAATGGTTGTGGCCCCCTTTCTGAGGAAGAGTAACAAGTGCTCATATCAATTATGTCCCAAACCATGACCTACTCATTTAAATCACTAGTAACGAGAGTCCCCTGAAAACACCAAGATGAAATAGTAGTTCATGAAAATGTATTATAGCTCAAAAAAAAAAAAAAAAGTGGTATTTCTCATACATCCTGAACAGAATATTTGGATTTGGCTGAGAATGAAAGTAATAAAAAGATTCCTAACAGATGGCTGGTGGCTGGTGGGGGGCAGGTTTACTAGGGAAAATTTTGGTGCACCTACCCCTGCACTTACCATCTTCCCTCCACTGGGGACTTCTTTATTGGGTTAGGCTCAAAGAACTTAAAATGCCATTTCTGATTTCTTCAGTGTCCTTTTATTGTGTGGCTTCTTTTTGTCTTCCCATTGAACAGTTATTTTTTAAGTAAGTGAAAGTAAGATAATTAGAGTTTAACTCTGTAGTCTTACAACTGAACCTTCTTCATAATTGTTTTATTCTGTAGTCTTACAACTGAACCTTCTTCATAATCTTCTTAAAAATAATGAATTAGCAAAGACAATGCTCCTTGGTGGTATCTAAGTCATTTACCTTTGAAAAGAGAGAAGAAGACTACAGGTAGTTCCCAGTCATTACGGTCAGTGGATTCAGACACACATCACTTAATCTTAAATAATTATATCACATGTATGCCTAGTTGGCCCATGTGGAGATGGACTGCAGCTGGAATAATGAGCTGGAGCCAGCAGGTGGCATGGTGGTTAAGGCACTAGACTCCCAGATGGCCAACTGTGGTTTGAGACCTGGACCTGGTGACTTGCTTTCTCATTTTTTTTCTCTTTCTCTTTCTCTCTCTCTCTTTCTGTTTCTCTTGGTGAGTGCATTTTCCTGTAGCAAATTAAAGAATAATAATAATGATCAGTAAAAATAAATAAATAATTCAGGAAATAGGTATATTGTTAGTCCCTGGGCAACTTCCATTATACTACAAGCTGAAAAACAGAAGGTAGAGAACATATTTTCATTTCACCTCAACTGCAGAGTACACTACCATGGGAGCAACCAGAGACTGTACCCATACTGCCATCCATGTATTCCTAAGGCTTTGACTTTATTTTATATATATATTTAATTGTCAGAGGGAATGTGTACTCATCACAGATACACAGACAGAGACAGAGGGATGTGGGGGTGGGAGAATGTGATCAGGTTGCTGTCCTTTCTCCATCTCTCCATTCTGTTGGGATTTGGGGCATGCACCCACATGGGCCTGCATGTTTTCTCACCTGCCATGGTCGGCCATGGGAGATCCAGCCCCCTCAATCACTGGGCTACAGGGCCAGCCCTACTTTATTTAGATAATCAGAAAAGTGGGTCTTAGCAATTCCTTTCAGGATGCACAGTTCTGACTTCAGCTCCCAACACTTCCTGGTATTCTTCCATTATCTTTGTTGACTGGACCAGGGAAATCTTAAACAGAAAATACCAGAGATGACGATTTAATGGAAGCAGAACTATAAGAAAAAGCAGTCTGGCATTTATATTTTAAATATAACAAGTCTTTTTCATGTTTATGAAGAAACTCTAAAGCAACTGAAAAACAGAAGTACATCAATGCAGATCGAAGAGCCTGAACACACACCACATCACTGTTACCTCCTCTTACAATGTATTTTGCAGCAAGCAATTGAAATTTTTCACTAAAATGCCAATTGCCTTAGAAAATCCCAGTCAGTGTGAAGTGCTGGATGTGGTCCTTCACACTTCGTGAAAAAAACAAAAACAAAAATAGGATTCTTGCACTGTGTGAATTGAGGTTGTTAAAGTGGGAAGACAGGGACCAGCAGTTAGCGTAATGGCTATGTTGCTGGACTCCCATGTTGTCGACCATGGTTCGCATCCCAGACCTGGTGGCTTAAAACTCATGCCGGGCGCGTGTGTGTGTGTGCCTAAGATCCCGAGAGGAGAATGGAGGAGAAGGGATTACGGCGTGGCCATCCCCCGGGGGGGGGTGATTTCTTGCTTTCTGTCTCTCTGTCTCTCTTTGTCTGGCGAGCACACAAGCCCTATGGCAAAAACCTCCCCCCCCCAAAAAAAAAAAAGTGGGAAGAAAGAAAAAGAAAACAAGGGGCCTCTGGTTTATCATTGTCATGGCAAAAAAAAAAAAAACAACAACAACAACAACAAAAAAAAAACAATAAAGCAACTCCTTCTATGGTTACCTGTAAGGAAAAACTTCTTCCTTCTACTACATAAGAAAGAATTGCTTTTTATTTCTTCTATAGGGCACATACACTCCCTAGAGAGAAAAAGTGAGAAATCAACCCCCCTCCGTGGGGATGGCCACACTGCAATCCCTTCTCCTCCATTCTCCTCTCAGGACTTTGGGTACATATGCCACATACCCAGCGTGGTTTTAAAGCCGCCCGATCTGAGACTCAAATTGTGAAGTCAGCTGTGTGGAATCTACCGCTAAGATCACCACACCACCAGCTGGCCCAGGAAGAATCTCCTTTCTCTTGCCAGGGAATAGTTCCAGGAACCTGAAGATCATAGGTTAAGGGGAAAAAACTGACAACAAAATGAGGTTGGAGTATGCTTAAACATTGGAGAAAACAGGAATGCACGTGTTAGGCCAGCTTCTCT